TTCATATTTTATAAAAATATATATTATTTTTATTTTTAGTGTTTTTTAAGTATTATATTTTCTTAATTATCAATCCTAAATACATACATATATAAGAAAATATTTTTAAATATCATTGGATTAATGGAGTTGAATCTATCTAGCTTTATCAAATACCAACTATCCATATTATAATATGAAGCTGAGAAAAAATAAACAAATAGGCATAAAATATAGCAATCAGTGCATTTCGATTTGAATGTATCTCGGTCCAGTTGGCAGTCGATGTCAATGTAACAGTGTACCTACCTAACTTTGTAAAGTAAACAAAATATCTGACCGAGGTAACACTTCCGGAGTTTTATAGTGAATCTATTTATATCCATTTTAATTAAATCACGTCCAGTAGTTTAACTGATTAGCTGTTACCAATAAAATTCAATTTTACATTTATATGGTTAAATTAAGTGGATGGAAAAAAATAGGTAACCTAACTTTTAGCGAACTATTTATTTTTATTGACTTGCTAGCCCAAGTGCAACATATAATACCAAATTTTAATTTAGCAAATCTAGCTTGATGTTGATAGCTTTAATATTCGAGTGATTTTACCTATTATTAAACTAAATGGTAAGAATATTACAGGTATTACCGAAGACATTTTTTAGAACTTTATTTATATTTTAATTTAAATACAAGTGATGGATATTTTAAAATTACAATATTTTACGTAGTTAATATTTACAACTAGATTTTAAATTAAAAYATCAATTTTAAATAGAAATTTATCAATAAAATATAAATTACTTATGTGATGTTCTAAATAATAATCTTACCTTTAAGTTTATTAATTAATCTAAAAAATAACTAATAAAAATAAATAAATGAATAACTTTAAATTCTAATATTAAATCTAACACAAAATGTAATCTACTGAACACGATTTTTTTACTTGTGGCCTGTGGGACGGTGAGATGAAACTACCAACCAGTAATGCGCTGATAATCGATATMCTCTAGTTATCAAACAATTATATCAAATATGTATTAGTAATTACTAATTAGTATAGGTATTAGGTATTGGGTACMTAATATATACTGACAGTTACTTGTAAATAACTGACCTACCGTATAATTGTGTGAATAAGTCTACAGTGTAAAATATAAATATATAAACGTATAAAATGATCCGTTTAACTTAAAACACTTATTATTTCATAAATTATGAAAGTTTTTTAAAACATTTCTTTTACATATTATTTTCAGTCATACCAAGAAAAAAGTTTAGATGAGCAGAGAAGTGGACTAATATTTTACAGGGCTTATAAACTGTAGTAATAATATTATTTAATAGATTTATTTTTCAAATTTTATCTTGTAATTACAGATTTGAGATTATACTTAAGAATATAATTTTAAAGGTTCTAAAGTTTTAAAATCAGGATAACTATTTAAGTACGATGCCAAGTTATTGTATCTCTCAATACGAGTTTCACTGTATCTTTCCATTCTCAACGTCAATACGTTAAGTTCGTTTTTCAACAACGAACATAATTTCAACGTTTTATTCATGAGTTCAAATTCTATGAACCGGTCGGTTTGTAGTGCCTTTATCATGCATTGGAACTTGAGCTGTTTCTAAAAAAATATATATAAAAAAAAAAATGTTGGCGTTTTTTTTTTTAAACTAATTGTTACTCAAGTAGTCAAATACTCAATTGTACCGTGATGAACAATTTTTTAGATCGTAAAAAACGTTTTTTGGTGTTTTGTCTAAATCGTTTTACAATTTTTTCACGAACATTTAAAGCATTCTTATCTTGTGTAAACAATCTTTTAATTATTTCATGGTATGGCAAAGAGTTGTCTATTTGTTTTGCTTTATCTCGTTTAGAAAGTGCGAACTTTTTATCTTTCTAAAAACAATAAATAATATTGTATACATATACTTTTCACGTATATAATTATAATTTATTAACATAATAATATAAAATTACTTCGTTTTGGAGTAATTTTCTGATACCATGATTTCTGTCCCAATCTAATGAATCAACCTTTAACTTAAACATTGCTCGTTCTCGACTACGAATTTCTATCATTTTTATAATATCATCCTCTAGTTTCGATATGTTACGAAGTGCTTCTTTTTCGGCTTCAATCATATCTTGTAACATGATATACGCTTCGTGGGTATTCAAATGTCCCTCATATGGATAAACTATATCTTCAATAACAGATTTAGGATCAAACTCTTCATTTCTTGTCATAGTGGGCTTTAGAAATAGTCTACTTGATTGCGTTATCTGTCCTTCACCATACTGATATTGAACGTAAATATTATTAAATTCAAGATTAAAACTTATGGTCGCAATATCCCGATCTTTATGTTTTGATTCATCTCTTAAATATTTTTCAACTATACTCTGTAACACAGTGTTACAGTGTATGAACAACATATARACATCAAWTTGCAATATCAAATACCTACCTATTTATAGGCTGAGGTAAAAACAGTGATTACTAATTACATTAAATATTGACCAATTGGTTCTTAAACACTAGTTAAATATTAACATAAATTAATTTAAACTTCTCTTTTGGATTTTTTTAATTTGTCACCAGTAAAAATATTTTAACATTATAATATATACTAATTTAAGTTATTAAATTCGCTTAAAATTCAATTTAAGTCARTAAAAAACATGAACTGATTATTAAACAGCTCGAAATAAATTAATATTTTATTATATATGCATATTATTTTTTTTTCAAATGCAGATAATAGACGTTTGGAAATAGTTGGAAATTTAAAAATAAATTGATAATGTGCAATCCGATAATTTTTAAGTTATAGTTATAAGAAATAATTCATTAAATATTATTTATCATAAAATGAAGAATAATATAAAAAAATAATCAATATTCACCATACATTTCCTCTTGACGTTTAAATTCTGGCAATCATTTTTTTCTGTTTTTTGTAATATACACTTGCGCCAAAATAATAAATCTGATCTGGAATAATTTATAACATTCATTTAAAATGCCTATATAGAATCATACCATGCCATCAGACAAAAAATTTAGAAAGAAATAGTAAAATTATAAAGTAAGTATAAAATGTTAAATTAGAAACGTGTGTAATTCAACTGAATACATTATTGCGTAACGTATACGTATAGGTATTAATGTTTTAGATATTAATTATTAATGTAAATCCTTGAAACTTAAAGATAGGTACAACATCCTATTTAGAACATACTGACCTATCATTAAACGTAGTTATGAAACTTATTTCGTCGATTTTTAATTCAGCCATTGAATCAAGTCTCAAATTATAAAACGTAAGAAAACGTTTGGACTTTATATTGTTATTATCGCCATAAAATGTATGTGCTATAGAATTTAAAAACATCAAATATGTAATTTAGATAATTCCTATTATATCTTAAAAAATGGTAAATACTTTTTAAAAAGTCATCCCGGCCACTTCTAAAATATTCTACAGTTTCATTCTCTTYATTGGTATATTTTGTCTCAACGCGGATCAACTTGTCTATTCGATGTTTATATATTTCTGTAACAAATATTTTATTAACATATTCAGAATCAGTAAAGAATGTGATTTTTTCAATTAATCCATCAGGCATGATGTAATCAGCATAAAACTCTTTAATTGCATTCATGTATATCACAACTTTTTTACCACTTGGATATAGCATATAATATTCTGAAAAGTATAGATTTAAATTTAAAAAATATTTTATTTTATTTTTAACGGCCGAATTTATACTATTTCTGGGAACTTCTAAAACGTTGACCCACGAGTTAGGCATCACAAGATGTTTAAATGTTGTATTTTCATTATTTTGTAAATCTAATACCCCGTGTCCTAAACTTTGAGGTTTATCCGTTAAAAAATGTTCCCAGCACTTTGTATTCGTCAAAGTAAAATTATACTGCTATATAAAATATAAAATAAATTTAAGTTAGTAAATAGTTTAAGCATAAAATAATCAGTAATACATACCGTACAACCTCCGTCCAATGACTGTAAATTAACCCAATAATTTTTATGATTCCAAATCGCTTCTATTCCAATATAATTCTCATCATAGATTTCTTTCCGCTCACCCGTACTAGGTTCAATAAAATATGGAATTTCGTTTACATATTCGTCCTCAATTTTTAATGGTAAAATTATGACCCAAGCATGCACTCGTTTCCCAAATAACGAATCAGAAGAATCATTAATGTTTA